GAAGAAGTTCGTGAACATGCACTGGGAAACGTTTGGTGCTGCGTTGTGCGTGTTGCTGGCCAGTGGTAATTGCTGGTTAGTGGAGCATTGGGCAAGGCACACGAGTTTAGTGTGACTTTGCAGGGGCGCTGTTGTGTTGGGGCAGCGTGGATACCAGGAGGGGACATGGACCTGGTATGGGCCAGATGCAGGAGGTCAGCTAAATGGGACAGTAAGCATGAGTCGCGACTGGTATAACAGGTCGACGGCTGAGGGGCGAATGGCTTGGAACAAAGCGGTTCGTGTACATGCTGGGTAACGTTTGATGCTGCGTATGCATGTGGCTGGCTAGTTGGGATGAGCATGGTTGTTCCTACCCATGTGTATATGTGAGATAAGTTTTTTTCTCCTAAGGGGCATAATTGTGAAGCTGGAGGTGTTGAGATAAGTCTTTTCTCCTAAGGGACATATTTGTTGAGATTAACAAGAACAAGAAAAATAATAATGGCAAGAAAGGTAAAGAAGGCAAGATTTACGTGGTTCGGCAATGTGCCTACATCCACGGGAGTGAAACAATTCTCTTATTATTTGTGATGGTGTAATGGTGACACAACCCATAAGGATACAACCAATATATTTATAGGCATCTAATCCTTATACAATAGGTCTACTCGTTTCACTCTTACTCCTATGAGACAAACAGTTATTCCTAATCCATATATGAGACAAACTCAACAATCTCCACCTTGGCAAATATGTTCTTTAAGAGAAAAGATAACTCAACAAATCTCCACTTTGACGAATATGATCTTTAGGAGAAAAGACTTATCTCACCATCTCCACCTTCACATATATGCCCTTTAGGAGAAAAGACTTCTCCACCTTCGCAAATATGTCCTTTAGGAGAAAAAGATAACTCAACAGTAAGACTATTGACTTGGTAACCACAAGGTTCTAAATCTCACTCCCATAAGAGCGACTTATTAACTTTATCAATTGATTTGAATCGATCAGCTATTAGCAACTTAGATTATTTTACCTCATTGTAATTTTCTTATACCTAAATCAACATCATATTTTTTTTAGGAATAAGTGTCAAATTGGCCACTGAACTGCACACAAGAATGCAATTAGGCCACTGAACCTAAAAAACCTACAATTAGGTCCCTAAACTAACCAATTTCATTCAATTTGTCCATTTTTTAAGTTTCTCAAGTTGCTAACAAGTTACCCCTCCACATAGGATGCATATGTGGCATTTAAAAAAAAAATTAATTAGTTTTTTTAAAAAAAAACCTTAAATTAATTTTTTTAATGTTTAATAAATAAAAACTAAAATAATTTATTTTTAAATTAAATTTTTTTAATGTTTAATAAATAAAAATTAAAATAATTTGTTTTTTTTTTAAATAAAATCCAAGCCCTGAACCACGTCTTAACAAATTATTTTATTTTCAAAAAAAAATCTATTTTAATTTTTATTTATTAAACATTAAAAAACTAATTTTAAAATAAATTATTTTAGTTTTTATTTATTAAATATTAAAAAAAAAACCTAATTTAAAAATAAATTATTTTTAAAAAAATGCCACATATTCATCCTAGGTGGAGGGACAACTTATTAGCAACTTGAGAAACTTGAAAAATGGACAAATTGAATGAAATTGATTAGTTTAGGGACCCAATTGTAAATTTTTTAAGTTCAGTGGCCTAATTACATTCTCGTGTGCAGTTCAGTGGCCTATTTGACCCTTATTCTTTTTTTTTTATGACAAAATATTTGACTACTTTCGAACATCTACATCAAACAAAATCATCACATCTATATTATTGTTTGTCACTTTGTCCCGACAACTTTTGTTTGGGCTGGGTGACATAGATATATATGGCCTTATATAGCTAGCTAATTCTTCAACAATTTTATTTAAAAAAAGAAGCAAATTAGGATGTGACCTTCATTATCACATACTTCCCTTTTACTTTCTACTTGGATTCAGTCTTTGTTGAGACGTAGTAAGAGCGGACGGATACTTTATAGATCGATATAGTGACGACTTAGCTTTAGTTAGAAAATTTTGTATGGATTAATACATCATTCTTCCAAAAGGCTGAACTCCAACCCTAAGGCCCCCACACCCCGACCCGACAGAGCATTTGGATTAATACATCATGTGTTGTTATATATAAGAAAAATATTAAAAATCAAATTATTATGATAATTTTAAATTTTTTAAGGTAAAAATATGTGTGAGATCACTTCACGGGTGATGAAAATGTAATACGTATACTGAAAATTGTAATATTAATCATAAATAAGTGTTTATTATAACGGTGGAGAATTATGTCCAGGAGACCAGGAGGTCATCCGATTTTTTTATGGTACCGCCATAAATTAAACCTCCACCACCACCGTCTAGTGGAGTGTTGGGATAAGCAATCTCCCACTGCACTTTGAGTGGATACCATCGTGCCCCCCTAGCTTAGCTTGTACCCCATTTAACAAAAAATAAAAATTTATGCACTTGGATCACTTCATCAGCTCGTTATAGGGCGGATTCTCAATTGAGTATAGATGAAAAGATGTGGCATAACCGGAGTGCTCAACCTGCCCATTCCATAATTATTACTCCGTATTTGGAAGATTATATTGGAGAGAAGCCACTAAACTAACTTTTAGACTATCAGCATGCGACCAGAATCAAGTTAAATGGACAAAATCACAATCGAGACTCTTAAAATTCAACGTTGACGCCACCATTAACAAGGAAGGTGGCAATATGGGCTTTGGCAGTGTGTTACGAGATGAAAATGGTAATTTTATTATATATCCAATGGCGGCAAATTATGCTGTGCATCTGTATACACCATGCATAGTGCATACGGATGCAAAAACGACGTCGTTTTAATAAAACGCACGTCTCCTCTAAAAAAAAAAATACGTTCGATTCCCAGCAATAACATTATGAACTAAAATTCCAGAATCGATGAACTATAATTCCATAATCGATGAACTATAATTCCATAATCTAATCTATGAACTAAAAATTCCAGAATGAATGAACTAAAATTTCATAATCTATGAACTAAAATTTCAGAATCGATGAACTACAATTCCAGAATCGATGAACTATAATTCCATAATCAATGAACTATAATTCCATAATCTATGAACTAAAATTCCAAAATGAATGAACAATATAATGTTGTTGCTGGGAATCGAACCTGAATTTTTTTTAAAGGGGAAACGCGCGTTTTTTAATAAAACCACGTCGTGTTTTGTGCATCGTATGCACCATGATTTGAGCCTAAATTAAAATATAAACCAGCGGGCCCTTTTTTGAAAAAGAAGAACTGGGTCTGGACCATTTTCAGACCCGGCCCAGATTTACCCCTTATCAGCTTCATCTCCATCCAGCTGCGGCACCGAGAAAGAGAGAGACGCCGCCGGATCCGACGGTGCACCATCGCTTACAACCACCGCCGGGAATCCAGCTGCGCCACCCCTACCATATTTTATGCCAGAATGTGTGTAAAATACGATCGTGGCATTTCTAAATCTGGAGAAAACAACACTAACAACACAAACCATATCTGTGCTAACACGTTTTTACATATGGAATTAGCAACCAAAATCAGTTCCTTGCTTAATGCAAAAGCTCTTATCCATCCGGCTGTTGCGCTTCTTCACGGTTATACGTCCCTCATTCCGCCGTTATCCATCGGTGTAGGACTGTAGGTAAAAGAGACAACAACTCAATCGCACAATACAAACCCTCAGGCCATGATTTTGACATGAAAGAATATAAATTTTACCTTTAAATATTGTATAATAGCCCACAAACAACGCAAAAGAAGTCAACCACAAATAATAGAATGTTGACAATAATTGAATTCATAACCTCTAGGTACGTGAATCATATTTCACCTACTTGATTATCTCTGTTTTTTTTTTTTACATCAAATTAGAATGTTAGGCGGACTCATTGATTTGAATTTATATAGATACTAGTTACCACACGCGCAACGCGCGTATAATCTGATGCTCAATGTATATTTTTAAATTAAATAGAACCAAATCCTCATAACCCCAAAAAGACTCATTCTAACCCAAAAAGACAATGATAACATGCATAGTTTATCATCTATGTTGAATATATATTGTAAATTAGGTGTACCGTTTCATTAATGTCAATGCGTGATTCTAATTAATTGGCCAAAGTTAATATTAAATTTTATATTAATCTTTTAAATACACTCAAACATATTCATAGTATAAAAATGAAGATAAAATTATTAGATTGACATAAAGGTATGTAAAATTACATAAATTTTATATAAAGTAATTATTTTATAGTGTAAGGGGACATTATATTTACATGTAAACCTTCAAAAAGTGAATCAAACTTGATTGACCAATTACATGATTATTTATATACATTGACTATAAGTATTAAGTCAGTGCATAAAATTTTTATTGACATACTGACAATTTTAATTAGTTTTACAACAATGATACCTAATAACTTACTTAAATAATGTAAATCTATTTTATGATAATTGACAAATTAACAATAAATTCAATTTCATTTCTTACTTTAATACAAACCCATAAAATTACCAAATATTTAGAGAATATAAATAATAATTGCTATGTTCAACAAAAAAAAAATAAAAATAAAAATAATAATAATAATTACACATCTTTATTGCCATTCTTTCATCAATGATATATAAGATTTAAAAAAAAAAAAAAAAAAAAAAAAAAAAAAAAAAAAAAAACAACTAATAAGTTCAAATTTTGTTACATAAAATTACAAATCATTTTGTTATTCTTCCATCTTTGATATGAATTTTGACACTACAAGCCACTATCACCACTGCTGCATGAATGGAGTGTTGGGTGGATAGATGGCCGGCCTCTTGGCCCTCAGCTCATTCAACAAACTTATTCAGCTATATATAGGGATGCTTCTTTGGTTGAAGCCCCTCATCATCATCATCATCATCCTAATCATTATATTATCAATTTATCATCTGCAATACGTACCAAGCTACAACACTATGAAGATATCATTGTTTATGTTTTTGTGTGTCTCTGCCGTCTTCTTTTGCTCTTGTCTAGGAGAATCCGAGCCAGAGCCTCCTACGCCACAACAAAATACTAAAGTTTACATTGTCTATATGGGCGCTGCCGCACCATCCAGCAATGGCGCCATGCGAAAGGATCAAGCTCAGCTCATCGCCTCATTGCTTAAAAGGTCAATCTATCTATATATATATATATATATATTATCATCGTTATGTTCACTGATAGATATTAATATATACATTATATATATGTGTATCTGCAGGAATGGGAAGGCTTTGGTGTACACCTACACAAATGGTTTCTGTGGATTTTCAGCTAGATTGACGGCGGAAGAAGCTCGATCCATTGCTCAAAACCCCGGAGTGGTTTCTGTTTTTCCTGATCCAATTTTGCACCTCAAAACAACCCGCTCCTGGGATTTTCTGGATTCCATTTCTTATAAAAAAAGTCTCCCACTAGCCCCCGCCCCACATCGATCAACAGGCCCTCGACCAGTATATTCCAGTGAAGCAGATACCATAATAGGCATCTTGGACACAGGTTTTTCATTTCATTTCTTTGTTTGATCAATTTTTTTATCATGTACATAGATGGGAATATACATAAATATAACAATGTTGTTGATGTATAAACTATATATGTTAGGAATATGGCCTGAATCCCCTAGCTTCAATGATAACGCCATTGGACCGATCCCGGACCGATGGAAGGGAAAATGCGAGAAAGGCGATGATTTCAACTCTTCCAACTTCTGCAACAGGTAATAATTTTGAGTCGTCAAAACGGGTTTAATATCACCATGGTTTTCACCATAAGCAATAATATTTGAGTACCAATACTCCAGTTTAGGAATTCGACTTACATAAACTTGTTCAGAAAAATAATTGGGGCACGATATTACGTGGAGACCCCGTCGGCCCGGGACAATGTAGGACATGGAAGCCACGTGGCGTCCACGGCAGCAGGATCCCTGGTTGATACCGCGTCATACTACGGTCAAGCTAGAGGGACAGCCAGGGGTGGGTCCCCTACTTCGCGAATCGCCATGTACCGAGTTTGCGAGTACGGATGCGAAGGATCCGCCATCTTGAAAGCCTTCGACGATAGTATTAAGGATGGCGTGGACGTCTTGTCGGTGTCGTTGGGCGGACCTGAAGGAGAAAAACCCGATTTCTCTACCGACGTTATCGCCATCGGCGCCTTCCACGCCGTCGAGAGAGGCATTGTCGTTGTCTGCGCCGCCGGAAACGGCGGACCACGCCGCAGTACTGTCATCAACGAAGCTCCCTGGATTTTCACCGTCGCCGCCTCCACCATCGACCGCGAGTTCCAGTCACAAATCGTCTTGGGCGACAACACAGTCATCAAGGTACTCATACTCAACACAACAACCTTAAACCAAATCATACACATCAACACATGTCGTATCATAATTGCCTAGCTTTTCTGTGTGGAGTACAGGGCATGGGAATTTATATCGGAAAACTGAAGAAAAGGCCAGTGCATCCACTGGCGACCGGGGCATTGGTTAAATCGGAGAGTGCTACTGAAAGCGATGCCAGGTAATATATACTTCAATTGAAATTGGTAGTACTATATATATTACTGACAGATGAAGGTTGGTTTTAGGGATTGTTTACCTCAATCATTAGATCATGAGAAGGTGAAGGGGAAGATTATTCTGTGTGAAACCGGCAACCCGACTTCTTACATTGACGATAAGATAAATGAGGTGAAAGATGCCGGCGGGGTTGCAGTAATACTTGTCAGCAGCCCTGAGGACATGATCATGGCGGTAAAATTTGGTGGTTTTCCGGGATCCATAATTCTAGAAAAGGAAGCCAACCAGGTTTTCAGCTACATCAGCTCAACCAAGTAAAACATGCTATCATTTAACACATAACATTAATTTTTTTGTATTTTCGATCAATATTTAATTTAATTTTTGTGAATTAAGGAATCCATTGGCAACCATCCTCCCAACCGTGACAGTGACAGAAAGTAAACCAGCACCTGCAGTAGCATTTTTCTCATCAAGAGGACCATCGCTTGCAAGCGTCAATCTCCTCAAGGTATGTTACTTAGTTTCCTTTGGTACGGTGCCAACAGGCAAATTAAACAACCAACATATAATGCATATATGATGTTTTTTTGTTGAGTTGCAGCCGGATATTTGTGCCCCTGGGGTTGACATTCTGGCAACTTGGCCCGACAATCTTGATGGGGGAGAGATAATCCCTATCAAGAGTCATCTAGGTTACAACCTAATCTCCGGAACTTCCATGGCCACACCACATACCTCAGGGATTGTTGCTACAGTGAAGGCACAAAACCCAAATTTCAGTGTTTCTGCAATCAGATCAGCAGTTATGACCACAGGTAACAATTAACCACAATGTACTATATTTGCCTTTTCTTTTAATTTGTCTGTATATATATAACACCCTGTATGTGTCTCCACTTCCAGCCATGCAGACAAACAACTTGAATGCGCCAATAACAACAACAGATGGAGCAATTGCCACACCGTATGACATTGGCGCCGGAGAATTAAACCCCACAGCAGCATTAAATCCAGGGCTGGTTTACGAAACTGAGATTGCAGATTACCTGCACTTCCTCTGTGCAACAGGCTACAACACATCTCAAATTCGGCTCATCTCCTCAACTGTCCCCAAGGGCTTCAAGTGCCCCAAGAAGTTGACACAAGACGTGATCTCCGGCATCAACTACCCATCCATTGCAGTCTCCAATCTAAAGGAAGGTGAGCCTAAGGCAATCACAAGAACGGTAAGCAATGTTGGCTCCGAGGAATCAGTGTACACTGCAACAATTGAAGCATTGGCAGACATTGAGGTCAGTTTAACACCAAATAAGTTGGTGTTTACAAATCAAGTGAAGAAGCTAAGCTATACTGTGACCTTTACGGCTTCATCATCCCTTGAGACAAACATATTTGGGTCAATTACATGGACTAGCGGAAAATATAAAGTTAGAAGTCCAATCGTTGTAAATGTTGAGTAAGGGAGTCAATCAGTTAAAGCGACAAATTGTTAGACATGTGACTAACTTGAGGCAGACCAGTATGAAAATCAAACATGTTTTGATGTTGAATAAAGTTTTTTTTTATGGTTGCATTTACTTCATTTTTCACTTATTATATTCACAACAATCAATTTAAATAATTAGCTGTCACTTTTTTTTTAGGTATTAAGATGTTTTTATATAAATTTGAAGGAGATCATTTATATGACTTTTATTAAAATTATATTAACGCAACAAAACATACTAATTTTGAATTAAAAATAAATAGTAATTAATAAAGTTACATTGTCAAAGATTTGACATGTAAGAATATAAATGTTACCTTAATTCAATCTAATTGAAGTAAATCGCGCTAGAAATGTCACATACAATACATTCGATCAAAAGAGTGTTGGTAGAATAGAACTCATGATCTTTAAGTACAAGAATCATGTTTTACCTATTTAACTATTTTTTTTTTTTACATTAGATTAGAATGTCAAAAGTTTGACTTATAATTCCCTTAGTTGTATCAAAAAAAAAAAAAAAAGAAAAAAAAAAGTGATCATTGATTTTGGCAGAATAATTGTTCTGAATTTATTATATAGACATAGTGGAATTATTATTAAGACAAACATCTCAGTACCCCCCCCCCCCCCCCCCCCCCCCCAAAAAAAAAACAGCAAAATATCAACAAATTTAGCATCTGGTCAATCAATATTAAATATCAATGCTGAAAATTATGAAATTTCCGACCACCTGAAAATGATCTTAAATTAAGTCGAAAGCCTTGTTCCGACCACTTTTGGTATCCGCAAAAACTTTTGTTGCTATTTCCGACCACTTTTTACTTTCGACTTGATTTAAGATCACTTTCAGGTGGTCGGAAATTCCATAATTTCCAGCAGTGTATCTACAAACTTCATTGTTTTACTAACATTAATTTATTGAAATAAAGTATGAAACCAAAAGGTAAATGACACAAGAATTTTTCTTAGAAATTGGCTTGAAAGGGAAATACACCAAAATTTCAATTATTTGTGCAAGGTAGGAATTGAAGCCAAAATCTTCATATGTTAAGGGTTCGCTTAGAAAGCAAGAAAAAGACTTTTAGAAAATGTTTTTTAAAAAATGACTCATTTTCCAGAAAATATTTTCTTTTCCGGTGTTTGACTGCACAACAGAAAACTGTATTTGTATGTTTGGTTCATTTTCTAAAAAATGAGCAAAATTGTATATTTCACCATTTTAATTGTTATAATGCCAATGCGAAGAGAAATTTAGCTTGTCCTATAATCTTCAAATCTATTTAAAGAACCCAAAAAATAAATTTTTAATTTTTTTTAAAAGGAACTCTGGTTTGGTTTCCGGCAAGGAAATCAATCGCCGAAAACCAAACCAGAGCACTGGTTTTTTCCAAGGAAACCAATTTGGGTTTCTTTAAAACCAATCTGGTTTCTTTCTTAGAAAACTAGAGATTCTGGTTTTCCAAGTCGGAAAACCAAACTGGTTTTCGACTTGGAAAACCAGATCTGTGGGTTTCCAAGTTAGAAACCAATATGATTCCGGCTGTGGGTTTTCGTACCCATAGCCGGAAACCGTTTCCGGGTCAAGAAGGAAGCGGCGCGAAGAAGGTCTCCGTGGTCGTACGAAGAAGAAGACGGAAGCGGCGCCTTTGTGGTCGTGCGAAGAAGGAGGAAGGCGGAAAATGACTTCCCCTTTTATTTAGGGGAAGTCATTTTCCAAAAAAGTGCATCAATTTTCCATTGACCAAACTTCATTTTTCTTTTACTTTAGTATTTTCCTCCATACCAAACACTGGAAACCCGAAAAATGATTATCAGGATTTCCAAACACACCCTAAGAATCCATATATCCAAACACACCCTAAGAATCCATATAATCGTATCACTTGATTGAACCCTTTCCCTCTTCTTCTCCCAATGGTTGAATCCCCAACTCCAAAGGCCCCATACACTTTGAATCAATAGACGATGATCCTATTGCTGTAATTGTTGATAGCACATTCCCTTTGTTTCGGCGCTGTATATGTGATATGTCCTATCTTAAGAATAGTGCTATTTTGGTTCCAACATTGGATGTGGTAGATAGCATTAATCAATACATGAATGATCATAATCAGGGTGAAGGAAGGACTTATTTGAGTTGTGATCCTGTTTGTAAGTCCGATTCAAATATAGGTATGTTAGCGGATTTGCACACCCCAGAATTCTAGAATGGTTTGCGATGCTCTAGAGTACCGAATGATGCTTTGACTTTGAAGTGGGTTCACATGTTATGCTTTTGAGAAATATTGATCACACTCTAGGACTGTGTAATGGTACGACGTTGATTGTTACAAGTTGGCTGATCACATGTTGAAGTCCAGATCATGTGTGGTACAAATGCAGGAACTAAGGTATTAATTCCCAGAATGTCACTAACACTGTCAAATCCAATACTGCTTTTCAAATTTCAACGGAAGCAATTTCCTTTGATGCTATATTATGTCATGACAATAAACAAAAGCCAAGGACAAACACTCTCAAAAGTGGGATTGATTTTGAAAAGGTCTATCTTTAATCATGGCCAAATGTACGTAGCTGTTTCAAGACTTAGTAATCTAAGGGGTTTAAAAATTTTAATTTGTGGCGAAAATGTACCATGTCTAAATGCGATTAAAAATGTTTTGTACAAAGAAGTCTTCAACAATATATAATATAATAAAATTATAAAGTTTGTCATTTCAAATTTATTAGGTTTTCAAACAGTATATTTTTCATCTGATTATACTATACTGTATATTCTGTTGGAAAAAATAGATTAAAATGACATAAAATGGCATTATAAATGGCTATTTTGTGGTACAATTATTAGTGGGATCCACTTTGAATTTGGGTCGAGGCAAGGTGGATTCGAATGCTTCGTAGTGAGACGAAAAGATTGATATATTGTACGCTCAAAACGGGTAATGGGCGAATGAGATATTGATTCTCAAAGTAAACCCATTTGAGTTGAAAAAATAAAGGGAAAAAAGGTAACTTTTGTTTCACATTGGTTTGAGAAACAGATTTGCACCACTACTTTATACAAGAGTTCTTCTAAGATTTATTGAATTGTATAGCATAGAGGCTTTCTCCTGCAAGGGATGCAAATCAAATCCCAAAATGAGACTGAAAAGGCGGGGGTGCATCTCAAATATAAAATGAGACAAATATCTTTGTTGAAAGAAGTATGGATCATAATATGCCAAAATACATGAATAAACAATAAGAAAACATATCGCACTTAACCACGTTTCTTTATTTTGTAACCTTGAGTATTAAAAGGAAAGGAAGCACACATGAAACAATTGAGCCACGTTTCTTTATTTTGTAACCTTGAGTATTAAAAGGAAAGGAAGCACACATGAAACAATTGAGCACGGGACACTTATATATATACTATAAAATGGAATAGCACATAAGTGAATTAATGAATTACATACAAATCACGCAGATAGAGATGGCAATATTGGGTAGACCCATGTGTCATCGTTCGTGCATCTCAAATATAAAATGAGACAAATATCTTTGTTGAAAGAAGTATGGATCATAATATGCCAAAATACATGAATAAACAATAAGAAAACATATCGCACTTAACCACGTTTCGTTATTTTGTAACCTTGAGTATTAAAAGGAAAGGAAGCACACATGAAACAATTGAGCAAGGGACACTTATATATATACTATAGAATGGAATAGCACATAAGTGAATTAATGAATTACATACAAATCACGCAGATAGAGATGACAATATTGGGTAGACCCATGTGTCATCGTTCGTGCATCTCAAATATAAAATGAGACAAATATCTTTGTTGAAAGAAGTATGGATCATAATATGCCAAAATACATGAATAAACAATAAGAAAACATATCGCACTTAACCACGTTTCTTTATTTTGTAACCTTGAGTATTAAAAGGAAAGGAAGCACACATGAAACAATTGAGCAAGGGACACTTATATATATACTATAGAATGGAATAACACATAAGTGAATTAATGAATTACATACAAATCACGCAGATAGAGATGGCAATATTGGGTAGACCCATGTGTCATCGTTCGTGCATCTCAAATATAAAATGAGACAATATTGGGTAGACCCATGTGTCATCGTTCGTGCATCTCAAATATAAAATGAGACAAATATCTTTGTTGAAAGAAGTATGGATCATAATATGCCAAAATACATGAATAAACAATAAGAAAACATATCGCACTTAACCACGTTTCTTTATTTTGTAACCTTGAGTATTAAAAGGAAAGGAAGCACACATGAAACAATTGAGCAAGGGACACTTATATATATACTATAAAATGGAATAGCACATAAGTGAATTAATGAATTACATACAAATCACGCAGATAGAGATGGCAATATTGGGTAGACCCATGTGTCATCGTTCGTGCTTTAGCTGACATGCACAATCTTATTTAAGGAAAGAAGGATAAGCCCTTTCCCATTTTGGGTATTGATTATTGAATAAAAATTATATGCAGAGAGCACTTGCCAGAATGCACCAAAACAGTATCTTGAATTCACTATATATAGAAAGGGTGGTTTGGTCTTAGCCTCTCAGTAACATCAAGAGCATTAATCATTCTTCTGGATTATCGGTCTTTGGGTGTTAAGCATGAAGAGATTCTTGGTGTTTTTCTGTTAAGATGTCTTCTCTGTCTCCCTTCTCAGTATGTAAGGGCGTAAGGCTGCAGGCTGCTCCTTAAAAAACAAAAATGGAGAGTCTATATGGTCTCATCAAATGATGGTGCCATGAGAAAGTTCAATCATTATATATACATACAGGAAAATTCATTTGGTTGAAAACTCCGGTATAGCCATTGGCAACAGCGGCCTCAGTTAAATCGGAAAATGAAACTGTATTCACTGCAAGGTACTTCAATGGTTGAAAAGTTGTGTATTTTGCTATTGTTCTGATTCTGACAGATGGAGGTGGTGTTTCAGGAATTGCCTCACACAATCACCGGATGCTGCCAAGGTGAAAGGGGAGATTATTCTGTGTACACACACTAACAAATAATATGGAATACAAGACAGGATGGCTGAGGT